AATCATAGACGGTACAACTTTTACCGTTCCGCGTTTAAACATTGATTAGGTAATCTGCTTATCTGCGATCACGATTTATATCTTAAATCAAAATATGTTAATCAATGGGATGGGGACAGTAAAGTTGGGTCAGTATTATCACAGAATAGATTAAATTTATATTTTATTCTGTGGTATTATAGAAAACATCTGTGAATTATATAACCACAAATAATAGTAAAAAAAAAAAATTCAATATATTGCAATTTAGTTCTCTAATGGCCGGTTTCAAAGTAAATATAGTAAATAATACCACATTTTTTTGTATTTTTATAAATACCACAAAATTACCACCTTTTTAACTATACCACACCATGTACCACAAGTGGATTAAATTACCACCGTATGGGGTAATTACCACATCATCGGCAACACTATTAGTACGACCTTCTTGGGGAATCAAGCGTCAGACGTAAGTCATGTAGATGTGCCTGCTTGAGTGTGTGTGTCGTGTGTGTGTGTGTGTGTGTGTGTGTGTCGTCGCCATAGCGCTAAAATCGCAGAACCAATAAACCAGGCGAGTTGCTTATCTATTATTTTCTTTGTTATTTTCATGAGTCTGGTAGGTGCGAACGCGCTCTGGTACAGTCGTCGGCCGATTCATTATTATTATTTATTATTCTCGTTTACGTATACGCGCGAAACCGTGTTTGTATCGTATAATATGTATTATACAAATTCCCACTCAAACCATGACATTATATTCCCCAATCAAAGTCGTACTACAGCTAAGATGTTTACACATCATTCGTGAGTGCAAAGGCACTCACATTTTCGTATACAATAATATGATATCTTTGAATTCAAATTTAAAACAACCCATTATACAGTTACCAACTTTTAACCTACTGTGCAGCAGAGCGACATCCACTTACCCGCTTTTTTTGTGTACCTACTAACACTCTCTCACTGCTATCAACCATTGGCGCAAATAGGGGGGGGGGGGGCTTGGGGGGACTTAGTCCCCCCAGATTTCGGTCAAGTCCCCCCAGTTCAAAATCTAGTAATTAGTACTAATTATTATATTCTGTAGTACTAAACATGTAGGTATATATTTTAAAAACTTAACCAAATTACAAAATACAATTATTGAAAAAAAATTATTATTATGCTAGTTTTTTTTTTAAATCTTTATAAAAAATACTATAACATATCTTAGTCCGTGCCTCGTGGTCAAACTGATAATTGATAACCGATAAGTAATTTATAGGTGATAAACTATGAGGGCTGTGTCACGATCACGGCTATAGTATCTATAGCCAAAGAATAATGCCGTGGTTGCTGTGACCTCCACAATCGACGGTTTACGCGCCAATTTTTGAACGGAGCATTTTGTTATCATTAATAATTAGAGTTAGGATGTTGATGACTTTTGCATTTTTTTCCTTTTATTCTGTACAATACAATGCTATCCTAGCTAAAAATTTGTTTCATGCTCCCTTGATTTAGAATATTCTAATTTTATTTTGCATTTTTTTTGCATTTTTAGCTATAAATGCATTTTTTTTTTAACGTCATTTTTCATCATTTTTAGGTCATTTTTTCATCTTTTAGGGCATTTTTTGTACTTTTTATACAATGTGGGGCATTTTTCACAAATTATAGATTTTAGGGCAAATGTTACACCCAAGTTTGGAAACAAATTTAATTTATTTAAAATCTAACTTCGAATTTGGACTATTAGGAGAATGTCTTTTTGAAGAATAATGGATTTAAAATTGTAACTAACATCTCTGAAATGCTAGATGGCCACATTAATTGTACAGTGCAACAACGGCACAACGCAATATGAATATTATTATAACATTAACATCCTAAAACTAATAATGAAAATATAATTAGTATAATTTTTTTTATTTATATTTTACTTTTTAATTTATTTTTAATATTGAAATTTATTTATAAATTATTTAAATGCTTCTACTATTACACCCATTATTATACCCATATCTCTAATAAAAATTATTATTTATAAATAAGTTTTTTCACTTACTTAATAATTAGTATTTTAGATAGATTTTAAGGGCATTTTTGAAGTTTTTAGGGCATTTTTGTGTGTTTTTAAGGTCATCAACATCCTAACTCTATTAATAATTATTATTTGTTACCACGGTCCACGGACTAAGATATATGTTTATTACTTACTTGTTAGGTTATATTTTAATATTTATTGGAATAAGGGATTTATCTAATAATATAAATACAGAAGATATTTTAAATGTATTTGCCGAAAAAGAACGGAGAATTTTGTTAAAATAAATATATTCTAAAAATGTAATACTTTGTATTTTTATATATCCGTAACGATAGTTGCTCAGTGGGTGGGGGATTTTATGGAGAGCGTTTCCCTCCAACATTTGTTTTACTTATATTAAGACCTTTGTGGAGGGGGGCTTGAGTCCCCCCAAAAAAATTAGTCAATTTGCGCCTATGCTATCAACGTATGTAATTTACGTCAATTACTACGCGCTTTTAGGTTCGCCGCGATCTTTTTACGAGTAACGCGTTTGAATATTGTTAAACTATTCCTGGGTAGCTAGGCCAGCAATCTTATAACAATATTCAACTACCTATTTATTATATAATTCTATTAAACGAATTTATTACTTTTAATGATTTAAATTATTGCACAAAAATGTATTATTTTTATTATATCTTACTACTATACTTATTCTAGGCTAGCCTATTACGATTACTTTTATTCCGAATTCTTGACGTCAACTATTTTTATTCAATAAGGTCATCTACTGCCTTTTAATTCAAAATCTATTTTACTTCAATATATCAACTTATATTTCTTCAAAAATGATCTATATCATTTAATTAACTTCTTTATTTCAATTCAATTACCTTTGTAAAAATTATCTATCAATTATTTCAAATTATTTCCATATATATTTATTCAATTGCTACATTTATAACAAATCCTATTAATTTAAAGAAACAGTGTTTTATTTTTTTTTTTTGATATTGCTGACTAGCAGATAAAAAGGTGCAAACACTATTTTAGTCACAGCCAATAAATTTAGTAGTCTTACATATCCGTTCCAAAAACTTGAAATAATGAAAATACATTTTTAATCATTCCATATTTTTCAATCCATATTTTTATGAATTATTTTTTATCGTCCTTCAGCTGTTACGTTCGAATTCTCGAGCGTAAACACTTATAGTCGTTTAATATGATACCTACTCGGATGTACGGATGTACCATTTAGTCACCACTCACCAGTGGCGTACTGGCGTAGCGTGTGTGTATGTACTATGTACAATACTACAATGTACAACAACTATTTC